ATTTCTATCAGTTTGTTTTTTGAAATTCTGTATTGTTTCTAATGTTTTATCTATGATTTTTTATTCTCTTTAAAATACCCAGTGCCCACAAGTTAAGGAGAAAAGGCTTAGTCTAACTCACAGCTTGTGGAAGTCTCAGTCCATAACTGGCTGGCTCCGAGGTGGGGTGGAAGAGCATAATGAAGGAGAAACACTTCATGGAGGGGCAGGGAGGAAGCAATGAAGAGGCGGCAGTCAGCTTCTTGTTCCCTATTTATTCCACTCAGGCTACAAGCCTACTGGTTGGACTGCTTCCTGTCTTCAGTAAATCTACTTGGCCCCACACAGAACTATGCTAATCAAATTGGTGAACTAACCCAGGTATCACAACATTAATCCGGGCCCTTCCAACTCCTGATCTATGAGCCCACAAGGCTTTGGGTGAACATTTAGACACAAGCCACAACAGATATGCTCAGGCAGAAAATTTGTCTACACTTTCCTGCTGTCCTAAGACTCTACAGGGGACTGACGTTAAGAACAATACACAATCTGAAATCTCAAGGTCACTCAGCTTTCCGGCTCTCATATGAGTACTGCTGGGGGCTTTGAGCTAGCTCCACATGAGCAAGTGGCTCAGCTGAATGATTTTAAAACTTTGGAGTTTCTCCAGAAAAAAAAAACAAACAAACAAACAAAAAAAAAAACTATAAAGTTTGGGCCTGTAGAGTTGGAGCAGAGGACAGAGTTGTTGCTGAAAAGATGAGCATTAAAAAGAAGCCTACAGAGCCAGGGAGCTAGCTCAGTAGAATAAGCACTTGCCCAGCAGGCGCAAGGTCCTGCACCCAATCCCCGGTACCACAAAACAAAAAACAAATAAAAAGAAGGCTAGTACTCAGACTCAAGAAAACAGGAAGGATGCTTTGAGGGCACTAGGGAAAGCAACAAGGCCTTTCCATTAATGCTGCAAAAGCGAGGAGTTTGCCTTTGGAAGACAGCCGCAAGAAGCTGTGCTGGAGGAAAATCTAGGCCAGTGGTGGCAAGCTTAAGGTCCAAGTGCCACAGCCGACTATTTGTATCATTGAAAGCTCTAAGAGGTTCACCACACTGGCCTGGGAAATTAGTGCTCTGGGAGTCTGTTCACTGTGCCCAGGCCACCAGGTCTCAGAGGCCTCTGCAGCCATGATACCAAAGGCCCCAGGCACTCACTGCTCAAGCTGCCTGCAGTCCATGGCATCATCCTCACAGGGCTGATCTCATAGCCATGCAGAATACATGAGTCATGTGGTCATGGAGGCTTTGATCTAGGTTTTAGAAGAAGGCCTGAAGGCCAGGCAGGGTATCCTTGAGAAGTTAATGCATGGAGTTGCGAGTGTTGTAACCCAAAAATAAAAAAACAGACTCAAACTTAAAAGCACTTTATTTAGCTGAGCTCAGCGGCGGCACATACTCTTGTCTCCAAGTAGGTGCACACTTAGTCTAGGTGAGGCACAGTTTTTAAAGGGAAAAACCACAAGAGTAGGGGGAGGAGGGGGGATTTTACAAAGCTTATTTGGAGTTAGTCATGACCAAGGGTTAACTCTTTGTTCCCATAGATGAGGTCACATTTTGCAAACCCTACAGGAATATGTCCTTATTTGGCTTAGGCGTTGTTTATGTTCCGGTAGTCGGAAGGACATCAGATGACAGTTTCACCCATTTTTAAGTTATCTGTTTGTTCCTATAGGAAGGACAGTTTAATTCATTTTGCAGAACGTTGAGGAACATTTCTTATCTTCTCTTGGAATGCTGAGAAACACTTTCTTTAAACAGTCACATTCTTCAGGGAAGGCATGGGTAGGGGGCGGTTTACAAAACAAATCAAGGTTTTACAAAACGGAAGTTACAAAGCTTGTTACAAGATGGAGTTTAGGTTGTCAGCTTATACCAAATAGTCCTTGTTAATAAAGTTACAGTGGAAACATAGAGTTACAAAATTGGAATCAATTGCACAGGTTCTAACAGTGAGACGGAAGCTAAAGGTCTGGTGAACCCCAGGAAGCCTGGGCATCCTGAAAGACACAAGGTCTGAGAGAAGCTGCAAGGAGCGAGCAAAGGAAGCCCAAGGGAGAACCCATGAGGGTACAACCATGGCCGTGGCATGCTGGTTGGGGGGCTGCTGAAGTCACTGGAGGGCAGACCTCACAGCAGCTTAACTGGGCACCGATGTGGAGGTACAGGATTTCATGCTTGCGCCATTGGATTTTGTTATTGCTTTGGTTTTGTTTCTTTCTGTCCAGCTATTTGGAATAGCAATGTTTATCCTGTGTCATTCATATTCGACATCTTGGTACTGCAGGGGTTCATCACTGAGACTTTGCCTACCTTTTAGCAACGCTTGAATTGTCAGGACTTTCCTTACTCTTAGAGGTGGACTAGACGCATCTTGCATAAAGAGATGCACATGACCTTTGGGAGCCGGGGCGGAATGCTGCGGTGCACATCACGTTGTCTCCCTGAAGCCTGGCGTGCTTGTGTGCAGGGCTTCTGGATGGTGACTGGATGATGGAGTGTAGCACAGCCGACTTGATCTTAGGAGGTGGGGTCTGGTTGGGAGCGGCGGTCGCTGTGGTATCGCCCACAAGGATGTGTCACCCGCTCTGCCTCCTCCCTTGATCTCTCTCTCTCTGTCACCCCATTCTCCCCACCCCCCTGATTCCTGGTTGCCATGACAGGTCACTGATGAAGAAATGAGCACAAGAGTCAGAAAGCAGAAAGCTGAGGCCGGGTGGAGCCCACGCTCCTGAAGGGAGAAAAAGAAAACTGCCCAAGGACAGTAGTGCATTTGTGTATCTACTCAGCGGGCCGGTGTCACGTGACACCTCCGCCACGCTTCCTCTTCGCTGGTTTGCCGCAGGTGCTTCACGCTCTCGGGCTGCCCTCGCCCCTGCGCTGCGCTTGCAGTCCACCTCCTGCTTCAGCCAGTCCCACGTGAGGTGAGCAGCTTCTCCCCAGCTGTGCGTCTCCGCCCTGCCACCCTGGCCTGGGACCAGATGGTTATGTAACTGCAACCTCCGTAAGCTGTGAGCAAAAGCAAATCTCTCCTCCTCTAAGTTCTAGGGGTTGAGTACTGTGTTTCAGAAGTGGGATGGAGCCTGCGGCATGACACGTGCACAGCCCAGGCGCAGGCGGGCCGGCATCTTGTCCTTGGAGGTCGTCTTTTCATGTGGGCAGATGTGGAGATGCGGATTGCCTCATCTGGCCTCAGTAGCTGGTCCATGGAGAGCTCCACTGTTTTCCACTGGCCTCCTCTCCAGGCCCTTTAGATTTTTTAATATCATTTTTATTTGCGCAGGGCCAGGGCTTCGATCCCTGGGCCTGCTGAGCCGGCCCCGCCCCTGGGTCGCACTGAGACAGCGATTGAGACTAGGCATGGTGGCACCGTGCTTGTAATCCCAGTACTTGGGAAGCTGTAAACAGGCGGATCACTATGAGTTTGATCCAGTAGTGAGAACCTGAACACCCTGTAGACCCTGAACACCCCGTAGACCCCTAAAAATGCAGGAAAAAATATATATAATTTTTATTCATTTTATGACAAAAAGATAAAATAGCAATGATACAGCTTCAAAACAGGTTAGAAGGATGCTTACAATAATTAATATATTGTGTGTTGTTGTCTTCATAGTAGTTATTTAGAGGACAAGATGCAGACATGATATCTTGTCTAAACAATAGGAGTCCAAACTTTACTTCTCAGTGAACTGAGAGAACATAGCTCTATGTCTGTCCTCACTCTTTTGTATATATATATATATATATATATATATATATATATATATATATATACTTTCCCCTTTTTTCACAACAAAAATGTTTTTTATTTACACCTTTGTGAAGTTAGCAACACAGGACCCTGGGTTGCTCGGCAAGTGAGAGCGAACTTGAAGCAGACAGGGTGTTCATCTCAGGGGGAGGTAGCTTGTTTGCCTTAGGCACTGGGCCAAGCTCTACCCACATATATTTGATCGATTTCCTAGCTTCAGGGCTCCCAGCGTATCCCCCTTTTTCATTTTGTGTTTTCAGAGATGGGTGTTCCACTGCAGTTAGAGAAGCTGTATTTGGAGAAATCTTTAAAGGACCTTTTCATACTTGACACCAGTCTACAGATTGTAGGTACTTGAATTCAGCAAAATAACCCAATATTGTCCAGTAGTCCATACTAGTAGTGGGTTATCAGCAGAACTGGAGATTGTCAGAAGTTTTTGACTTGAGCCTTTTACAGCTCAGCATATTAATATGGCTTTACTTTTTATACCTTGTGGTTATACTTTTCTGCTGGATGGCTAAGGCCAAGTTAAAGCAAGACCTATATAATTAAAAATGTAACTTCTGTATCTGACAAGGTCAATCAAATCCCCTCAGGATTTATGCCGGAAACACCTATAGCACCTTGTAGATCTTTTGTCAGTGTCAGCCATGTGGATGAGTCATGGCCAT